AGTTTATCGTGACGTTTCGCGGGAACATTTGGTGACGCTCGGTGGCATTCGGTATTTATTCGCTGCTTGACTCTGCCATGACGCCGGGACTGAAAACCGCCACCGCTGGAAGACGCCGTGTACTGGGGGACACTGGCGCGTCCTGTGCCGACTGCACGGTGACGTATGGAGATGGTGCGTCATTGAAACTGAGGAAAAGTGTGGTCTTGTCCAACATTTGGCAGTGCACCGCCACTAAGATCGACACGCCAGCGCAACGCCTGGTGATTAGCGAACCATGAGTTATGCGTGTTCTAAGCTGGACTTATGATTACGGGGCATAATTTACCTCTTACAATATTGGTTTTGGCTCATAGCAAACTATTCAACTCGATGTCCGTGAGAGCCGGCGACAAAAAGCTGAATTCGTTTTAGTTGATACCCGTGAACAGCATGCTGGAAAACGGTCGTTCGCGACATTACGCTGCCGAAGCGCTGGTGTGCTAGCTCGCAGCCGTTATCAGTTATCACGGAGATTACGTGCAAGGCTAACTAGTGCCTGTTGGGCCGGGGCTGCGCGTCCGGCCTGCAGCCGTTCCGGGATCGCCGCGGCGCCGACCGCGGCGCCCGTGCCCGTGACTTGCACATTCGCCCGCCGTGACGGAGGCTGACCGTGTCACGTGACGCGGCGCTGCGATACGTGACGACCGGTACGGCGCGGCCACGTGACGACGGCTGACGAGCCAGTGACGTGACGCAGGGACTGGCTGGCGGCGCTGGACGCCGGCATGACGTGACGTGACGGATGTCCCGTGTGACGGCCCGCTGACGTCTGCGTTACATTCTGCATAACATGCAGCATCCCGCGGCGGAACAGTATACTCTACCGATACGAATACAGAGGTGTAATGTGTGGGCCTCTCGCGCGCTGTACATGTATAACGGTACTTTATCTGAAGGGCATTGCAAACGGGTCATGCATGTCATCATCACAGTCACTGGACCTTCCCAGTGATGCAGCGGCGCGCCCAGCCGTGTCAGCGTCGAGTGGGCGCTCCTCCCCCTCTCGTCAGGGTCGCCGCCCCCGCCCCGCCCTGACCCAGCCCTGCCGCCCCCGCCCGCAGGTATCGGCGTGATCGACCGATTCATTTACGTGGTGGGCGGCTACGACGGCTCGCAGCAGCTGCGGACGGTGGAGCGGTACGACACGGAGGCGCGCACCTGGCGGATGGTGACGCCCCTGCCGTCAGCAAAGTCGGCCCTCAGCGTCACCGTGGACGAGGGCAAACTCTACGCGTTCGGTAGGTGGCAGATGGGTGGAGGCCGGTGGAGGTGTTACGAGGGGGCGGGAAAATGTAACTGATGCTCGAAATGTTACGGGGCCCGATGCAGAATGATGGCTGTGAGTTAATCCTGATTACACTGGTAGTGATGTGAAATATCGATATTAAGCTCATACTGTCCTGAAGGAAGAGTGCTGAATGACACTCATCGCACTTACTCTGACTACATGGTGAGTTGTGTGCATATGTTGCATTGTTTCCAACTGCGGGCTATCGTTCCGGCCCTGAAACACGCGGCGCCCCGCGTGTGACGGGCATTGCGGCCTTTCAGGCCCGTTAGTGCGACGAGCCCGGTCTGACACCGAAATGTCAGGGGACTAGCGCACAGTGCCGGCCGGGCCCAGGGCCGCAGAATATTCCGATAAACTAACGACCCGGCGGCACAGGGCTCCCCAGCAGGGCAATCAGCTGCTGGTGGGCGGGACTCGGCGACGGCGCGGGGGTGGGAAGGGGGGGGGGGGTCTCGCGGCTGACTCAGTACAGACGCACTGGGAGTGAAGGCTGGCCTATTGCGCACTGAGGTGCCAACATATTGATCTCAATCTCTTCTGGGAGGTTTTATAAAGATTGCTGGCCCGACGGCGAGGTGTCAGCGGCAGCGCCGCCACACTCGTCGCCTAAGCTAAGTGGTCACGCGAGCGGCCACTTGGGGCAGTGATCCGGCCGGTTAGGTCCCCGGCGGGCGCCCACACGGATAAATAGGCCCTGTGTTGGAGCCGGAGCAGAGTTGGAGGTTGGCCGAGCCTGGCCGGGCCACTCCGGCCGGCCAAACCCGCCCAGTGAGCGTGACTTTCACCTGGCTTGTTGTGACGCCGTAATCGGCGCCTCTCCGCCCTCTGTCCGGCCGCTCTCTCTCCTCTCTCCTCTGCCCGGCCGGTGGGGGTGGTGTGATGTGCGTGCTGGGGTGGGAGGGGCGCCGCGCCGGCCGGCAGACCGCTGTACTATGGACTGCGGGAGCCGGCGACCCTGAGTAGCCGGTCCGCCGCGCCCGGCGGCTGTCGGAAGTGGCGTGAGCTGGAACTGGTCACTCCGGCGGTGGATAGCCGGGCTGAGACCTTCAGAGGAAACGCACCATATTATTGATTGCGGGAGATAAAGTTGGTGGCATAAAAATTGCAGTCATGGCTTCGCACTCTAATTTTCCTCGCCGAATCGTCAATCATCTATTGGCATTGTTCTTACTTCTTAAAATTTATTGTTAACACATAAAAATAATGTCGCCTACTGTATTCTATCCAATTGAATGCAGCCTGTGGAGAGTGGAACTATCGACCTTTGGCAGCGCCGTCGGCAGTGTATTTGTACCGTGTGGCAATGGCCGTGGACGGCCCGACGGCCTCCTCAGTGTCAAGTGTTTGTCATTTCTCCGAGCTCGCCTCATTGCAGAGATAAACTACTAGGCAGGTTCATTGCACCGCTATCGGCCGACCTGCTATCCCATACACACTGATAAACTCTCCGCGCCGCTGTCCCACTCATGGTAACTGCAGCGGGCCCGTCCGTCAGCATGACAAGGGCGGCAGCGGTTTGTTTTTCGTGATTGTGCTGGTCCACTCACTCGGGTATGATACACCAATGAGTGCTATGGACTTTGACCGTGCTGAGGACGTTGTGGTGGCTGTTTTTTGTGGTGGCGTCTCTCTGACGGGCCCCATCTGTCCGCAGGCGGGTTCGACGGCACCCAGTTCGTCAGCACGGTGGAAATGTACGACCCGGCCCGAGACGCATGGAGCGCCTGCGCGCCCATGACCACGGCGCGCTCGGGCCACGTCTCGGCGGCGTCTGTGCGGCCTTGTTTCGCGCACACGGACCCCTCGTTACTGGACCGGCACCGTCGGCCCGACTGTGACCAGCTGCAGCAGCAGCCGCAGCCGCCGCGGTGACCCCGGCCCGCCGCCGACCCGAGCGAGCCGCGCGGCCGGCCGGGCTCCGCGCGCCATCTGTGATACGGGCCGACTGAGGGCGCTGGCTGCCCTGTACGGGACGGACGGGATGTGACGTGTGAGTGGTTGGTGCCGTGAGTGCGGGTCGCTGGTGTGGAGCGCGGCCGCTGGTCGGTGGCTGGTGATATACGGGTGTACCTGAGCAGTGGCGGCGCGGCCTGTGCAATAGGTGGCGGCTGGCCGCACGGAGAGGAGGGACGGACCGGCCCTGGCGGCCACCGTTCTGCGGATCGCTCGGAGCTCAGAGTGGTGGCGGTGAGACCTGCACACGAGTCGCACCGCCGCGCCGTGGCGGCGCCGGGAAGCTGAGGTGATCTGGTCGGGGCTATCTCGCGAGACCAGAGTGGCCGCTGCCAAAGCTTGTTCAGCTGTTTTCGGGGTGCAGTGCGGCACCGTGCGGGGCGAAGGTATTTCAGCAGTGTCTAGGCCGATTTTCGATCGTGATTGGTGGTGAATTATGAGATGTTTATAGTTGTTTCATCCACTGGCGGGTAGCCCGGTCTACCCTGCCGTCGTGTGTGATGGCCGCCGGGCGGCGCACTGTCTCGGTGCTTTCTTTACCTAGTTGGAGAGCGGTACCCTCACCTGCCGCGGGTAGACGCTGTGCAAACGGCGCGGATATTCAGAATCAAACGTTACCAGCGTGCCGCCACGGCCGCCGGGCTGTGTCCTGTTCTGTGCCAAATCGGGTGGCACCGGCTGGTGGGGCCGCGCTGATCAGCTGTGACGCCGCGGGTCGGCGGTGGACGGGGTCGGACCAATCTCTGGAGTTAGCGTCGGTAAGGTGGCGCAGGCGTGTGCTGTGTGGGCGATATTCGGCCATGTGACTTGTGTGTCTGCGTGTGAACATTGTGTATGACCGTAATATGTACGCACTTTTATTATAAGAGGGTCAGTGTTATTTCTACACGTTATGTCATGACAACTACCGTTTTTGTTATGGACGCCGGACAGTCAGCAATAGGATATGGATGTGATCGATGTGACTAGAGGACACGGGAGCAGGACATGTGGATAGTTAAAACGTCACAAGCTCACAACTGCTCTTGCCGAAAGGTTATTCGCGATATGGCGCCATTTAGACTTGCAGTAGTATCCGCACTGAAGATTTGCGATTAATACTGGCATCCTAAAAGTGGGCATGCCTATTGTCTAGGTCTCCACCTCAATAGAAGCGGCTCCGGCCAACCAACACCCGAGGGCCGTTCATGACGTTCCGCTGCTGCTGCTCTGTTGCCAACCGATACTAAAACGTTTTACAAATCAAAATAAACTAGGGGGCACGGAGGCAATGACCCGCAGAGGGCGTGCTGACGTCATTGGCATCAACCTCGACATCGGCAGCACAGCACAGTGACGGCACGGAAAGCCATGATCTCACCTGACGATTGACAGCTGTTAACCGAGCTATCCGCGTGTAAAGAGACAGTACCGCATGAGCAATGCTCAGGAAATTCGAGCTGTCTCATCCAAGTTCGACTCTCAGCAAAGCCGTGCGAGTTGCGGGTAATGACTAAACTAAATGACAAGTAAACGAGATGCTCCCTAGAAAAAGCAACTAATAATGGTGATGTGTGTTCGCTCGTGGAAACATCCAAACATCCTTGAGCAGGACTAGAAGTGACTAGAGCAGATATGGGCATGTCGAGCGTCCTGCCTTTGTACTCGAGTTAGGAAAACTAGCCAACATGAAAACAATCTTAACATCTGGACGGCAGTCTCTCCAGTCATTACATTTGGTCATGATAGGGACGGAATGTATCGTAGCAGCACCACAAGACCACACACACACAGCTGTTGTACGTCGGCGCCATCTGTGAGATCGGTACCACGCTCTCCGCTGAGATCAACATCTCACACCAATTACTCAACCATGATACACTGCATCGATCATCACTGAAGATGGTGTCAGCGTCTGTGGAGCTGTCATATTTACCTCTCCATGAATCTTACCATATCCACCACCACCGGCCTCCTTCCCACGGCCATTCGGCAGTCTCAGCACGGTGGGAGTACCCCGCAGTGTTAGAGGTCGGGTCACTCCAGCGGAGAGTCGAGCTGCCTCCGCCGCCGGCGGCTGCTGGCCTGGAAAACAACCCTACTGTCAGAGACCGGCTGCTGGCCTGGGAAACAACCCTACTGTCAGAGACCTGCCGCCGGCGGCTGCTGGCCTGGGAAACAACCCTACTGTCAGAGACCTGCCGCCGGCGGCTGCTGGCCTGGGAAACAACCCTACTGTCAGAGACCGGCTGCTGGCCTGGGAAACAACCCTACTGTCAGAGACCGGCTGCTGGCCTGGGAAATAACTCTACTGTCAGAGACCTCACCTCGGCCATCATGGGGCGGGGCAGGTGGGCTAACCGGGAAAATACAGATAACTCGGAACTGTGAGTGGAACTCTGCGAGAAAGCATGGGCTTGTTAAATGCCCAACTTTGGGTAAGGAGGCACTTGGCAGCACTGCCAGCACGCGGCGAACGGGTGAGGGTCTTTGGCACGATTCAGACCGAGTTACGTCAGTCGTCCTGCGGTCGTGGGCAGGCGCTCTATCGGCCCCCAATATGATGCAACGCTTGCCGAATTTCCATAGCTGAGTCCGTCCCATATCGATAACCGTGCCTAATAAATGGCATTATCACAGTCACCAATGACACTGCCACGGGCCGGCAGAAGAGGCCCCATTCAGCGCTCAGGGAGGCAGAGAGTCATTGCCCGACCCAGATCGGCAGCGATAAAACATGCAAGAACGACCAACGTCAATAAACGCTGACCCTACACGATGACACGGCACAATATCCGCACAAACACCCTGATGGTCGATCGTTTCACCATCGTTTTTGTTACTACGCCGCCTCAACTGCCCCTCCCCCCCTCTCCCCCTCAAATCACCTTCAGATCCTCCCTGTGAGTGTAGACCTGGCGCTGGGTCTCTCGCAGCGTGCGACGGTACATCTCGTGCAGATGCTTCTGCGTGGCGAGGAAGTGGCGCGTCAGGACCACCTGCTGCGTCAGGATGGCCGCCAGCGCGGCGTCCTCGTCGGCGTCAACAAAAACTGGCGGCAGAGGTGGCGAGCTGGGATGACTGGGCCCGATCGGCCCGGCAACCGGCCCGCAGAGGTGTGTCGCACTTAGGCACGCCGCGAGCGGCAGGAGACAAAGAGAACCGCCACTGCTGACTCCGAGGATACGGTGTCAAGGGCAATACAGTAACGGTGATGTGCATGTTGTGTTGATGCCAACAAGCATTTTTATGGCGACGTATGCAGCGTAAAGTTACTTTTTTGCATAAGTGCAAATGTGGGAGGACCTGTCAACGGTGTCAATCGTCGAGGACAAGATAAAAATTTATATACGCGCGCGAACAATGAAAAAACGAAGTAAGATATCAACAATAACTACTGCAGATCTGTGTAGCCACCCAGGATCTTCAGCTTTGGCATAATGAAGGAAATACACGCCATCCAGCTCCCCTCCGTCAGTCAGAACTGCAGCTCACCTGAGGCAGTGGAAGCGCCGAGCCGCGCGGCGTCCGTCACCGCGCCGGCCGCCAGCGCCGCCGGCGGTACCACCACCGTCACCGGGGCCGGCGGCGGCGGCCAGGCCTGGCGGCAGCGGCGGCAGGCAGCCGAGGAGCGCGCCACCCGCCGCTGGTAGCTGACCACCAGCGACTCGGAGGCGTCCGTCCGCTCCCGTTCCGGCCAGCTCGAGTCGCGCTCTCCGTAACGGTCGCGGTCTCGGTCCCGGTCCCGGTCTCGGTCTCGGTCCCTCCGCCGTCTCCGCCTCCGTGCTGAAGGAGAGTCGGGGTCGGCCCCCGGCGCCCTCTCCAGCCCCCGCCTCGAGTTCGTGTGACGCACAGAGCGAGACGGCCGCGACTCCTCACGTCGCTTAGAATCCCGGTTCGCTCGATGATCTCTGCCGTCTGCGCCGGCGTCTCTCAGACGGGGTCGACTATCCTTTGGACGAGGCTCATCTGGAGAGTGAGTTCCTCTCACAGGGGAACGGTGGTGCTTGGATAAGACAGCGTTGGTGTGTTTCGTCTTGTGGTGCCGATTAGGAGAGGAGCGGTCGCTTCTCGCGCTCTTTTCCTTAGTGCGCTTCCGGTGAGATTTGGCCGCTGCTGGGGTTGATGGCCGTTTCTTCTCGCGATCTCGCGAGCCAGTCTTATCAGCTTCCGCCTTGGGTGTTGATTTGCTGCTTTCGACCGTTGATCTCTCCCAAGCCACTTCAGCCTGTGATTTTGATTCCGACTCCGATCCTAATTCCGACTCCGACTCCGACTCTGATGCGGTCTTTGAACCAGACTTCGGTGACCGTTCGGGCCGCTCTCGTTCCGACTGCACTGTCCTCTCTGACGCTGACTTCAGTGTCGACTCGCTCTCGGTGTCCGTGGATCCCTCAGTCCGCGCGGATCCCTCTGACGGCCGCTCGGTCTGCACCGACTCCGTAGCCACCGTCCCAGCCGTCGGCTCCGACTCCGTCTGTACAGAGCTGGCCGACGGCACCGTCGGCACGGCGCTCTCAGCCGCGCTCGGCTCCAGCCGCTCCGAGACCTCACCGCCCGACGGCGAGCGGGCCGGTCCGCGCGCGCCGGCCGCCGACTCGGTGCGGATTGCGCTCGGGGACGAGGTGTCCTCCGAGGAGCTCGAGTCCTCGTCGCCCGAGATGCCGCTCAGGATGATCTTCTGGTCGAGGATGCTGACCGAAGAGCGGGAGCGCGTCCGGGCGCGGCCCAGCGACGCGCCGCCGCCGCTGCTGCCCAGGTCCGTCGGCGACTTTATCGGACTGGAGGCGGAGAACTTGCGGCGCAGCATGTCCATTTTGCTGCCGCGCCGCGGCACTGCTCCAGCTTTCGTCCCTGCTGGTGTGGGAGCCGGTGGTGGCTTCTGGGGTGTTTTCAGGCTCATTTGGTTTATCAGATGGCTTATATCAGTGTCAGTGTCACTGCTGGCATCTACAGTTGGTATGCTCTGGTCCCTGGTGGCAGCAGGTTTGATAGGTGTGCTGGTAGCTCTTTTGCTTCCATGTTTAGTTACAGAGGCGGGTTCTCCATGGCTTAGGTCAGGGTGAGCAGCCACAGCAGTGGTGCTCTTTGTAACAGCAGGTGATTTGAGCCATGGTGAGGAGACAGTGGTAGAAGATACAGCATTTACTAGTGGTTGAGTGCTGGGAGTGTCACTAGCTGCTCTGCTTACAAACTCCTTCCTGGCAGCTCTCAGGTCTCGCAGGTAATCCTAGGAACAAACAGTAACATCACTGAAGAGTTTAACAAATGAGATCTGAATCTTACAAACTAACAGTTTGACAATTGACACTTGACAGCAGTTGTGCAATTTCAAAAATAACTTAGTCACAAAACGAGCAAAGTTGAGAAAGGCAGCAAATATAAGCAGCCCTACACTCCATTTTAATGCACAAGTTGTGGAATGTTTATCTAAAGTAAAAGTAAATTATCATTATATGTGTAATGTGACCAATAAATTGTAAAATTCTGACTTAGGTTACACCTTACCTGCACACTTGTCATGTCTCCACTTTTAAAATCAAAATGCTCCTTTCAAGGCATAACAAAAACTTCAAAATTTCACCATCTTAGGTCCAGATAGGTTGAAAATATTTCACTTTTGCATTGGCTCATCGCTACTAAACCCCCAAGGCCGCTAAACCCCTAAAAGAATCACCCCACACCATTTATAGGTATCTTGCCCACACCCAAATTCACTTCAATGTATTTTGTATCGCTTGCGCAATATACGAGCCCAAAATCATCAAGGTTTTTATCTTCAGTCTGAAGATAAAGTTAGAGCAACAAAGCAGAAGAAAGCCACCAAAATCATAATTCTGTGGAATTGAATAAATTTGTATGTGCATAAATGTTGAATTATTATCGCTATTACCTTACCTTACCTTACACTATCGGGAATTTTGAAAGGCAACTCGCCTGTAGGTCCCGCTCTCGTCGAGCTCGTGACTGGTGGTCATCTCTAGTCGTGAGTAGGAGTCAGGTACATCAGATTGGCCCAATGCTTGTCAAGTCTGGATTTGAAGGCATTGAGGGATGGGGCCTGGACAACTGTTGCAGGGAGGGAGTTCCAGTCGTTGAGCGCTCGAATAGTGAATAGTTGTCTTCTGGCTCGTGACTTGGCATGTGGTTTGTACAGCTTCCAGGGATGGCCACGGTTGGACCTCGTGGACGCAGGCTTGACAAACTTGTCCGAGTCGATATCGATCTCGTTATGCAGCAGCTGGTACATTCCAATCATGTCACCACGGCGTCTTCGGTGGAGCAGTGAAGGAAGCTTCAGGCATTTCAGTCTCTCAGTATATGGTTTGCTCCTGATGCCGGACACTAATCGAGTAGCGCGCCGCTGGACTCGCTCCACAAGCTTGATGTCTGCACGATTGAACGGGCCCCATATGAGGTTGCCGTATTCAAGGTGGGGCCTGACAAATGCCTTGAACAAAATCGGCAGAGTGATCTCGTCCAGATTCGAGAATGACCTCTGGATCAGAGACAGAATCTGTGAAGCCTTTGATACAGCCGAGGAAGCCTGCCTCCTGAACTTCAGCTCGGGATCGATGATGACACCCAGATCTCTCTCAGCTGAGGTGGAGGCGAGGCAGACACCGTTCATAGAGTAGGAGTGACCAGAGTTCTTGGCCCCGACGTTCAAGGACGCACACTTGCTCTGGTTGAACGCAAGCTGCCACTTCTTGGACCAGGTGGTGAGAGCATCAATGTCGAGCTGGAGCAGGGATGCATCACTGGGAGTATCAATGCTGCGGTACAACTTCGTGTCATCAGCAAAAATCTTGATGCAGGACCTCACCGCGTCGGGGATGTCGTTGATATATACAAGGAACAGAAGGGGCCCTAGTACAGAACCCTGTGGCACCCCGCTGGTGACAGGAGACCAGGTGGATTGACAACCTTGCACGACGACTCGTTGTTGCCGATTGGATAGAAATGACCTTATCCACTCAAGGAGGTGTCCAGTCACACCGTATGCTCTCAGTTTGACGAGTAGGCGTTCGTGAGGGACGGAATCGAAAGCTTTTCTGAAGTCCAGATATATGACGTCGACCGGGCTCCCGTCTTCAATCGCACGGCTCCAGTCATCCAAGACTTCCAGTAGCTGAGTCGTGCAGGATCGGTGTGGGCGAAAACCATGCTGGTGACGCGACAACAGTCCATTCGAGGTGAGGTATGCCATCAATTGGTCCCTTATCAGCGACTCCATGACCTTGCACGTCACTGCAGTTAGGCTAATTGGACGATAGTTCTCTGGTCGTCTTCTGTCTCCTTTTTTGAAGATGGGCACAACTGTGGCAAGTGTCCAGTCGTGGGGAACACATCCTTCATCTAATGACTTGCGGTAGATGGAAGCGAGAGGAGCACTGATGGAGTTGGCCGACTCAGATAGAACTCTTGGGTGGATGTCGTCGGGGCCAGGAGAGCTCGTGGTCTTCAGGGATGCCAGCTTCTGTCGGACCATTTCTGGAGAGATGGACACATCGCTGATGTTGAGTGAGGTTTGCTGCCGGGCGAGATCGGGAACTTCCTGTTCCTCAGTAGTGAAGACACTGGAGAAGTAGTCATTCAAGATGTCGGCTTTTGCTGAGTCGTCACTGACTGACCTGCCTTCGGGGTCAAGAATATCTCCGATGCCCGTCCTCACTTTCAGGCGTGAATTCGTGTACTGCCAGAAGGCCTTTGGATTGGTTTTGATCTTGGCCGCCAGTTGGAGCTCAAAGTTTCTTCGCAAGCTTCTGGTGAGGCTCCTGAGCTCGTTTCGGCAGCGTGCAAATCTGGCATGATCAATGGGGTCTTTGGTTGCCGTGTACTGGCGCCACAGGGTTACTTTCTTCTTTTTGAGCTGGTTGGCCTTCCCGTTGATGTATAGATTCTTCTTCCTCTGTCCTGCCCTAGCAGTGGGAACAGAGGCCTTGACAGCCCCAGCAACTGAGTGTTTGAAGAAGTTGTAGCTTTGGTCCACATTCAACTGGGCCAACACACCCCAGTTAACATCGCTCAGCAGTGCATTCAGGGTGGGAAAGTTGGCACGCCTGAAATCTAGCTTCGGGATGTCAGATTTCCCTGGGCCAGCATAACAATTCAGGTCAAACTTCAGCAGAACGTGATCGCTGTTTCCTAGACCAGGCATGTAGTTTAAATTGGAGACCAGTCCTGCTTCATTGGTGAGAATCAAGTCCAGCACGTTACAGGCTTCACCTTGTCTATATCTGGTTGGTTTGGAGACATGCTGCTCGAGGAGGCAGTCGTTGAAAGTTTGCACCAGTAAGTGAGAGTAATGGTTGTCAGGAGCGGTTGAGAAGCCACTATCCCAGTCGACATCAGGCACATTAAAGTCCCCAGCAATAAGCAGATGGGATGGATTCAGTGAACACACCTGTTCAAGAAGGTCTGCAAGCTCATGCATGCTTTGGAGATTGTTTCCTGAAGGACTTCGGTAGATGCACCCAACAAGCAAGATGTCAGAGTTCATCAGTTCAAACCTCACCCACAATTGCTCCTCGAAGTTGTGGCCACTAAATTCAACTTGAACAGCCTGTAGATTGTTTCTCACATAGATACAAACACCCCTTTTTCCACTAGAGCCGAGATTGGGTTGGTCAGGCTCAAAGTTACAATGTAGAGTGAAGCCAGGGATAGACAAGATGGCTGGAGAAATAGGATGAACTTGTGCTTTCGGGATGACCTCGGTGAGCAAGATTACATCAGGTTCGTTACCAGCGATGAGCATGCAAAGGTCGTCCTTCTTGTTAGGGAACTGGTCAGTGTTCGTATAAATTACTTTCAGCCCCGTTTTGCCATGTTCCTTGAGGTGGGAGGCTAGTCATTTTTGACCGCCTCTCTGGTGAGTGCTGGTTGGTCTAGCACTCGGAGTTGGATTGAGAGCATCGGCTGAGACTGAAGCAGACTCCTGGTTGGCTCCAGATTCCTGTACAGGGAGAGTTCCTTCCTGGCCAACAACAGTGCGTGGCCCTGGAGCAGGAGCTTGGGGTGGCACTGAGTTGAGATTTGGTTGCGGAGCAGATGAACGAGCTGTTCCCTCGGGAGCAGATGCGCGAGCTGCTCCATCATCTCTCTGGATAATTCTGCCTCTTCTGATAGTGAGGTTTGTTTCGCCAGCTCTTCTACGGGCAGCAAGTTCATCTCTTAGCTTCTTTCCCAGTTCCCGTTCTTTCTGGGTCATGTCTGGGTTGATAAAGATGTCGCTGAACTCATCCGAGCTCCTTAGTTGGGGGGACATCTTAAGTATGTCATACTTGGAGGACAAGCTGTCAAGTGTGACTATAAGAAGTCGTGGTCTATCAGGGAGTTTCTTTCCAACTCGGAATGTTTTCACAGGAGTGACAGACAACTTGAAAGCATTCTTTATCATGGATGTGAACAGGGCAGCATCTCCCTCAGACCTTTCCTTAAAAGAGTCACCCAGGGACTCCTTCAGATTGTGAACAACCACGTTTAACTTCCGCTTCTCTTTGTCGAGGAAGTCATCAAATACAGATGAGATATCCTGGACAGTTTTCCCAGATGCACCTGTGGTCTGAGCTTCACCCTTACCATTGTTGGCTGGAAGGGATGCCACCCTTTCTGACACCTTTTGGGCAACTTCTTCACATGTACCTTTCAAAATTTCTGCATATGTTTTTTTCTCTTCACTGTAGGTTTTTAGGCTTTGTTCTAGCTGTTTACTTTGCTCCATGTGAGTTTTTTCCTGGTCCTTGAGGAAGTTCTCGACAAACTCCATGTGCTTACGTACATCCGTGTCAAGGTTGTGAACTTTTGTTTCGAGACAGTCTACCTTCTTGGACTCATCCTTCTTTTTGATGTTGTACTTGCATTCGGCACAGAGCCATGAGAGAATCTTGTACTTGTCCAGAGCTCGGATTGCTGGGACTTCGATTCCCTGACATGTATCGTGGAACCACCCGGAGCAGCAGTCACATTGGACCCCCTCCTGGCTATCAAGAACTGGATTCCCACAATCCATGTTTAGGGGCCCACCTTTGCAGATTGTTGATTCACTCCCAGTGTCACTAGATGTTCTAGAACAGCCTCCCCAGAGTCGGTAAGCGTTCTCATCGAGCTTCTGAATGTTTCGTTTGCACTTACTAGCAGCTGAAAGGGTTTTCTCACCTTTTTCTGGGGTTAGATCCTCATCTCCGCTCCTCTGCTGTTCCACACCACCGTCTTTCGACTCAGATACCGCTTTCTTTCCACTTTTCTTACCGTCGAAACTCGTTGAGACACTTCTCGACGAACCTGGCGCGGGCTCCGGCGGGGCAGCGTGGGGGCGGCCATCTTCCCCTACAGCCGTCGTAGTTGGAACAGCTGATTGTCCGTTTGAACCGAGTCGTCTGCCCCGACGTTTCAAAATTGGAGACCGTTCCAGTGTCATCACACTTGTTTTCGTTGATTTGGCGGAAGGTTTAGGACCAAAAAGTAAGGATTAACAGGATATATTTCATAAAGGTCTTTGGTATCGCAGTTAATGTTCAAGGTCACTCGGTGTTGACAGGCTAGGAGCGCAGCGGCAGGTGATCCGGGGCGAGAGCTCGACGAGAAGCGTCCGACCCCGCCGAAAGCGCGAGCAAGACTCCAAGACTGTTAGGGCTATTACACAAAAGAAATGATGTAAAATCGAAATATATCTATTTATTTAAATCTTGTAATTTAACCTAGGTTCCCTCAGGTTCCTTCAATTTGAGGGATTTCCCTTTAAAATTTGATGACGTCATTACTTTTAAATAAAAAAAAATATTTACAGTTCAATCTTATTTTTCACAATATTTTACAAAATTTGAAGTAAAATGTAAGCATATTTCAATTTTATAAATAAATATGAAGCAAGATGAGATATTTTACAAAACAGCTGCGCCAGAAACTTTATTGACGTCATTATAATCAGAAATGAGCTATTTATTTTGATTTTAGTATCTGCCATTAGATCGTCTTTATTGCGCTATATCTGTATACTCATGTAAAACGAAGCTGCCATTTGCCATTCGATAATTAAGAATTTGGAGGCGAAGCAGGTTGAGATATGTTTTGACAATATTTTTTTCAGCTTTGTGGCGGAGTTATAAGCAACTCACGAATCTCAGCATCCTTATCTTTGTAGCGGTGCTTGGAAGAATTTTGTGAAGTTCGGTGCTCCAAGTCCAAGGCCATTTCGGGCTGCAGAACTTGAACTCAAACTGATCGTCAAATTTGGTGTGCAGAACAAAAGGGACAACTCAAAGGTTTGTGCGATGCTTTCTGTTAGGGCTAGGCTACCAACTGGATTTAGGAAAGGTTAATTTCAATAAAGACTCGAGTCATTACTCATTCCCACAGGCCACAGCCCATTCTGCAATGCCAATGCATGGCCATTTATACGAGATCTCGTCATGATTTTTCTCGCTTTATTTCTCTTCAGTGATTGCTTGTTCTAATGGTGCAGAATCCAGATTTGGCGGTAGATATTTACTTTTGGACTGACACACTTTTAACGGTAAATTTTACACATTCTTCTATTGTTAACATCCTAAATCCAGATAGGTATGCTAATAACATGTCATCAAAATGTTAAAGAAACATAACCAAGCCTTACCGGTAGTCGTAAAGCAGGCGTCACACTTCTGTGTAGATAGCTCAAGGTAGTGTGACAGGCTGTGGCCTTGAGACTGGTGCTAGTGTCACCGCAATATACCATGTCACGGACGTACTTCCAGCCATATACACGGAAATGTGATGCCTGCGCCCTGCTTTACGACTACCGCCTTACCTACCTAACCTGCCATACTTCAGTATGGCAGGTTATACCGTTACTCACATTTTCTTTTTTAAATAAATTTAGTCCGAATGTCTGAATGGGCGGTTTTGAGGAATCAGAGTCAGCACTAAGCATAGCTTGTTATGCTGACCCTGACCCCACCACCCGATCACGCAATTCCAGTTGTATGGCAGAATTTTGTCCAAACGTTTAACGTGCCCTCATGACTGGACACAGTCCCCTCCGCTCACTCACGTTACCTGGCTTCTGCGCGGCCCCTGCCACAGACACGCACGCCATTACATGTAGGAGCTAAATGCGGCCGCCCGCACCGGGGCTTGAACCGGGCTGTCACTTCCGGCTAAGCGTCGAATTCCGGTGCTATAATCCACTCGGCCACGGAGAGGACATGAATAGATTGCAAGCAATGGTAAGTCAAATATTTTTAGGTGAGTGGTTGTGCATCAGCCTTCAGGCCTTCAGCCTGAAACCAGCTACACAACAATTTAACCTAAAAATATTTGACTTACCATTGTCTGTAATCTCCCCTAAGGTGTCAGTATTGCCTTTGGTACTGCACTGCTTCGCCACGAGGAATTTTATGTTACTCTACATATTGCATTAGTGCTTTTAAATTTGTTTGTGCCATGAATAGATATCTCATATCAGATATGAAATCAGGTCAAAGGATATCATGTGATTTGCTTATTACTTGGGGACTGCACCAAAAGTAAATGGGTTACCAGTCCTAAAGTGAATAAATGGCTAAATATTTACCATTGAAACTGCTGGTGCACAGGCTAATTATTGAAACTTGTCCCCCAATCAGTTCAGAAGTTGAAGCTGTCCATGGAAAGAGGCCCCTTTCAAAGGGCCTGTGGCTTCCTTACTTTCACTTTTAAGGCTAATGCTAATCACAAATACATGCATTTGCCCCCCTCCCCCAAGGTTCAGGGTGGTATGGAACAGGAAAGGGATGGTGCAGCCCAACCCAGGTTTCCACACTGTTGGCAGCCATTGGCAAGTTGCACTGTTGTGGGGCACGGGCGGACGCGGTAGGGTGAGAGGAATGAGCATGGCTGATGGGAGGGATTCAGGATGTGGACTAACCCATTGTGCAGGGCCAATGGGATGGCTTGAACTTGAAGACCACAGCTCCACAGCTTCAAGCAGTCATATAATACACTGCAAATGATTTTCAAGCTGCAGTCAAATAATATACTGTATACGGTTTACCGAACATGATGTACCGGACCGTTCGACGCAGCTATATAACAAGTTGCGTCGAAAAAAAATTGAGGTTTTTGCACTATGCAGCGTTGGTAAACAAGATGCGCTCAGTTCATGTAAAGGTTTGGTGTTGTCGCTCGGTGGTAGGGCGAGATGCGCATGGCTGATGATAGGCCTGGAGGAACGCTACTTGGCCGCGGCTCAAGTAGTCAAATCATGGTGCTGAAAATGCATGCGATGAGCCCACATTTTGCTATTTATATTTTTATTTTTGTAAGTGGGGTCTTACTTAACAGGTTTTCAAGCCATTTAGCTAAATGGCTGTGTCGACACCATTGGAGTAACCATGGTATGTCGTACCTACCATAAAAGCCCTGGATGAATCGCTAGGGGCAGGCCGCAGGGACGGATATGGTTGTTGTATTGGCGTGACATGCTTTTTGTTCGAATTCGGATCGGAATGCGCCGGTCTAGTTACTAAAGACCACGTGAGTGGTTGTCTTGAGATTAGAAGGCGGTGCAATGGCCCAACATATGGGGGGGCGCACCTTGTCCCGTTGTGATCGGCCGCTCAGCCGACAGGATAGCTGTGACGAGGCGCAGTGTAAATATTTGATGTGGCTCGCTGCACGAGCGACCTTGCGGTGCCCTTGTGACTCGCCATGCGACAGGAAATACCCCACGCCTCGGCTCTCGTGCTCGGAAACTGGACAGAATCGGCCAGTGTCGTGATGCGTGACGGTGTCGATCGCAGTGAGCATCTTCAGCTCACCAGTGTCGAGATCCGTGTCGCGGGCGGCAATGGCTGGCTACTTCTCAGGAAGCCGGCGCTCATGGAACCACCGATACCCAATATCTCACCACCAGCTGGAAGAGTCAGTTGCCTGCATTGCATCACGACTCACGAGTAATAAAATCATGCACTTTTATAATATTATTGTTTGAGTTCGTAGGCAGCTTACACAACATTATGGTGCCCACATGCAGTATCAAAGTGGCAGCTAGTGCTGGCGTGCTTACGATAGAACCAAGCACGCACACATTAATTGGAACAAAAGAGTGACTTCATATGCCATTACACTCGTCTCTAGTGTAGTATCCAGACTCGTGATTTCCTGTTTCAGCCTTACAATGTGTAGTTTTCAGTCTGCGTGTGTGGTTGCTTCTCTCGCAGTGGAATATTTTTAATTTGTTTTATTCTCGTAAATGTCGTTCCCAGACGGATGCGTTCCCCCAGGTGCGTTATTTTCAGGCACGCGGTGCGCGGTTTTCAGGCTGGGCCATGCTGGAGGACATTTTCGTCAGCGTCCGCTCGCTCCCCTCGCAGTGGTCGGAGGCGTGGAGCTCCTGGTGGTGGGCGGCGCTCCGTTCCGCCGGCGCCAGCTGTAAGACCAGCTGCCAGCCGCTGCCGCACTTTTGTCGGCCTATTTTCGGCGCTGTCGCTGTTTTGGTGTTATGCGTTCACGAGCACGCCGAGGCTTCGTTATATTCAGCTTAAATATCAAGTTTTTGGATTATTAGATGCAAATATATTATTTCCCGCTTGTCTGTTTTTCAGTTTCAGAGGGTTGTTGGCATCCACTTGTCCACATGGACATTGTTGAGCGATTTGTTCCTGATGCATGCATCTTATGCATGATCTGATTACGAGCTGTCAGCACGCAGAGCAGTTATCTACAAGCACAAAATATGCACGAGTGTTGCACGGACTATGACAACATCCACAGCGTGCTGTCTTTATCTCATTTGGTCCCTGTGAAACCCTCCATTCCCATTCTCATCTAGCAACAGAGTGGTGTTTTGGCCGGTCGCCAGCCGTCGTGTTTAGCGCCCTTCTGCTGACTGGGCAATGGGCGCCGTTCAATGTCCGAGCACGCACCGGCTGAGCTCGGCTGCATTGCACTTGGTCGGCCGGCCCTCTGCCAACTCAGTCTCCGCCGCGACTGTCGGACGGAGGTCCGCAGTTCGTGTGCACCCCAAGGATGGTCCCTTATTGCTCACTTATTTTTATTTTGAAAAAAAAAAACATGTTCAACGGCATAGCAGGATCAGTAATCGTCGATTGGTTCTCCCATGGTTTTGGTTATCTGCTGACAAGAGAAAGATGCAGCATGTGAAATAAAAATGTTTTCTAGGCATTGAGCGCTGGCAGATGTTTCGCTGTGCTGATTCTGCGCGGCCGTCGTCAATGTGTGTTCAATGTGTGTTATATTTTCCCTCTGTGCTTTACGTTGTCTGGGCCCGCAGGCGGTATCCTGTGCCCCGTGTCCCTCCGTGTATGACCAGTGTCTGTGTCTCGGCCCGCAGGCGGTATGCTGTGCCGGTGTCTGTCTGCCCCGTGTCCCCCCGTGTCTGACGATTGCCCCGGCCCGCAGGCGGTCTGCTGTGCCGGTGTCTGTCTGCCCCGTGTCCCCCCGTGTCTGACCGTTGTTTCGGCCCGCAGGCGGCATGCTCTGCTCGGGCGCTGGGGCTGCTCTGTCTGTCCCGTGTCCCCCCGTATCTGACGATTGCCCCGGCCCGTAGGCGGCATGCTCTGCTTGGGCGCCGGAGGCTCCGGGGGCCCGGCGGCGGCCGGCGGCTCCTCGGGCGGGCCGGGCCAGCCGCCGGCTGACCCGGAGCCCGAGGAGGCCGCTGGCGACGAACAGGACCCCACGTGCGCGTGCTGCATGAACGACATCGAGGACGAGGAGCTGCAGGCGCTGGGCAAGTCCTACCACCCAGAGTGTTTCCGGTGAGTCTCGGGGACAGACAGGCAGGACGGCGGTGGTGCGGGTTACGGAAACCGGCGGGCGGGCTCGGGTTTTATAGGTAGTTTTTGATAAATGGTAAGTACTCAATAAATGTCGCAGAGGTTTTAACCTGTGCTAACTCGGAAGAAAGCTGGCAAGGGGAGAACGCTCTTCATCGGGTGCGTTCTCGCACGGTAACTTTGTTTTTATGCTATGTTGTGTCTAACATGAAGAATAAATGTTAATGCTAATACAATAACGGTTTAATCAGTGACTTATCCAATAAGTGTGTTGTTACTGGTTAATGGTGTTTATCGTTAGTATTTTCCTGTTTGGCTTAGGTTGTTACTTGTTACTCACGAACACTTCCAATTCTACCAAAAACATCAACGACAAACTATTCATGGCTGCGATGGTGTCGGTTTTACCATTCAAATTATACTCTGTTCGCTTTTGGAGCGGTTTACAGATAGCATTGATAATAAATGGTATCAGGTGAAGCGCCTTTAACTATAACTACCACTGTGCTGACACTGCTTCTGCGGCTGCGTTGATAACACGGTGCTCGGCCGGTGAACTGACTGGTGCTCCCCGTTCGAGAACTGCCACTGTGTGTTCGGCAACGGCGACTAACCTGTGTTCTGTTTTGGTGTTTCATGGACTTCAGGAAGAATTACAGGTACGTACAGCTGCATTTTCTTTATTCATCGCATGCACTGCAGGTGATGTATTATATATTGGTCAGTGCCCTTATCTGTGATTTGTTGTGCGCTTTTTATGTTTAGGGATTTTTTACGTTTATTGTGGTTGATTTTATTACTATTTATTCGATGATTTTTGCGCTGGTGTTTTCATTTTGTTGTAAAAGATTCTGTTGTATGTATGTACGTCATAATAACAAATTAACATTCTAACAGCGACTTATTTGGTGTTCAAAGTCGGTATCAAAGTCTCTCGTTGCCCTGCTTGTATTCCCTATGGGCCCTCTCGTTCCATCCCTCTGTCTCCCTGTCCTCTCGTCACTCTCTCCTCCTAACCACTCACCGGCTGTCGGGGTGCAGCTACCGTGTGCCGTGTGTGTGTGCCGTCGGTGACTGAACTTGTTTGCTGTGATGGCGTGCCCTCCCTCCATGGTAATGTGCCCAAATCTCTGCGTGCTAACCCCCACACCTCCCCGCCGCCGCGCCGGCCGCCGCAGATGCTCCGTCTGCGACGCGTCGCTGGCCACCTGGTACTTCGAGAAGGACGGCATCCTCTTCTGCAAGGCCGACTACGCCGACAAGTTCGGCGAGTCGTGTCAGGCCTGCTCCAAGGTAGGGCGCGGAGACGGGACGGGACGGGACGCGGTGTGGGACCGGGTCGGTCGAATGCACGCTGCAAGGACCGGGTTGTGTTTGGATCTAGTGGAAATACCCGACTCCATGTTTCTGCTGGTGTTTATGCTGTCCTTTGCAGCCACGGGATGCTATTTGAATCGATGCATCCGGGCAGAAAGTAAATATTGGTGAAGTACATTTTGCTTTGTTTGCAAATTCATTTGTCACCGACGACGAACGTCGAATGAATTGTGGCAGAGCTATGAAATTTCTAGTGCGAGTAGGTCAAATTCAAAGACGATGCAGTGGCAAACTTGCTGACCTGCCCTGACGTGACCTTAGGGTCCTAATCATCGCGTCGGTTCAGAACGGTAGTGATTGGTGACGGTCTAAAACATACTTGGTCCAACCTGACCTGACCTGACCTAACCTCAGGTGATCAGTGTGATGGAGGCGGCCGGTCACTGAACTGACATGACCTGACCTGACCTGGCCTTGACCTGACCTTAGATGATCACTGAGCCTGTGATGGAAGTAACTGAGCTCTGGCATGACCTGACCTGACTTGACCTGACCTCAGGTGATCAATGGTCCTGTGACAGAGGCCACTGGGCTCTGACCTGACCTGGCCTGGCCTCATGTGATCACCGGGTCCTGTGACGGAGGCGGCCGGTCGCTGAACTGACCTGACCTGACCTGACCTGACCTGACCTGTTTTAGGTGATCACCGGCCCTGTGATGGAGGCGGCCGGCTACTGACCTGACCTGACCTGACCTGACCTGACCTGTTTTAGGTGATCACCGGCCCTGTGATGGAGGCGGCCGGCTACTGACCTGACCTGACCTGACCTGTTTTAGGTGATCACCGGCCCTGTGATGGAGGCGGCCGAACACAAGTTCCACCCGGAGTGTTTCCGGTGCACCTCCTGTAGCGGTTTCATCGAGGATGGACAGGCGTACGCGCTCATCGAGCGCTCCAAGCTCTACTGGTGAGTGTAAAATTACTATTGTACTGCTCCAAGCTTATTGGTGAGTGTAAAGTGATCTTACGACGCTCCAAGCTCTGCGTAGCTGGTGAATGTAAAATAGTAAATCCTCGGGCAGTGTGGGAAATTAGCCCGCGAGTTGCTGGGGGGGGGGCGTTAAACGCCCCCACTTTTTTCGCCGGGCCATAGCATAAAAACGGCGCGCCGCAGGCGCGCCAAATTTTGGGTACCTGTAGGGAATTGATTGAAGTTTATTGTGACAAAGTTTCAAAAAAATCGGTCGGAAAATTTTTGAGATATCGAGGTTTTGGTGACGTCATGATTTCTGAGTTTTCAACCAAAAACGGCATATGTTCAAAAAATCATATAAAATCACAGAATAGACATATAAACATGCCGTAAACGCCATTAGACTGCCAATACCATGAAGAATCAAATGGCTATCTTCGATTATTGATTATCGTTCCGCATTTTCCAAAATCTTGAACTGAATCTTGGCAATTTCTCGTGACTACTTCACGACCATGATACATGAATTTCTTAAATTGAACTTTTTTAGCCAAACACGTACACATATGATAAAATGAATGTCACCATCGTGTTCTACGCCCCAAATTACCCATAAAACATGTGTCACAGGCTGCGAATATCAGTTTTTATTTTCGGGGATATGTGCCTGCCCGGTTGACCTGACCTTGACCCTGACCTATGCTTGACTGACTCCTGCATGGAGCTGACACTCTTGTAGGCCTTATATGATGGATTGTGCACCGTTTTGACAGAGTTTATGACGAGAGGCGCCCATTGCGAAGTCCTGAAGTCCATGCTACTGAAAGCCCGATTTCAGGTGTTTGACCTGACCTTGACCTGACCTGTGACCTCAAAATTCAACTTTAAAGTACTCATCTGAAGCGTCTCGTCGCGTTCTTTCGTTTGACGCCTCGTGCGTTTCGCTGCGCCTATTGGTTCTCGAGTTATCGGCTGGGGGCGTTTAACGCCCCCCCCCCCCCCAGCAAACGGTGGGTGGCGAAATACCCCAGCAACTGCCGGGTTAGTAAAGCCTTGGGTAGCGTGGTGACAGCTGCCTTTTATCCATATGGGGATGTAGGCACCTTATGTTTGGGACCTTTCTTTAGTGGGTGGAAGGGATCCCCGCGTATTAACTTGTCTTTAAACTTCCCCCGTGACTCAACTCAGTCAAGTGGCGAGATTAGTTTGTAACGATAGGTACTGATACGGTATCTGATTTAAATAGCTGTGCGGCACTGACTTCCTGTTAGCTATCTGTCTCCACCTACTGTACATAGATCGTGCACGGTGCAGAGCGAACCAAGTCGCAGTGGGCTATGTGTGACTGAGGTGTCCTTTTGGCTACATCGGTTTTCGTCCCGTGCTACCATTAGTCTTACTTACGCACTGTTAACTCATCGTAAGTGCTGCATATCGCATTCTTTTTTCAACACTGCCTACCGATCAAAATGTACGTACAGTTATCTGTTTGACCCTCCTGTGCGCGTTCGTTTGTTGGTTTGAGACTTGAATTGATGTGCGGCTATTCCTTTCCTCTTTTCCGTGACTGTCTCAGGGTGTCTTTATTCCAGCGGTGATTGTGCCTCCCTCTCCGTTACGTCTCATCGTGTTTATCCGGACCAGTCGTGATTTCCTCACCGTGCCTGTTTCGGTGTCTCTCCGTGTCTCTCCATTCCACCGCAACTGCCTCACTGCATCTCCATTCCATCGCATTTGTCTCACTGTCTCACCATGCCTCTCTGTTCCAGCGGCGACTGCTACACGCGCCGTATGGAGCTGCTGGCGCCCTCGGAGCCGTTCCGCGTCCCACACTCGATCCAGCTGGTGCAGCTGCCCGGCGGCGGGGAGGACGCCGCCTCCCGGCAGATCCGGCTCGGGTCGCCAGATCCCGGCTCGGTGGCCGTCCGAATCGCAGAGTGAGTGTGATGGGAAAAGTGGGGTAGAACTCAGTACTGTTGTTTACTGAAACTAAGACGAGCATTGCTCTGAACCGTGCGACATTCACTTGCCTCATCAGACGTCGCACCACGATTAGACCCTGGCGTGTGACCTGTGCTCCATGTCTCCCAACAAGAATCTGAACTCTGAGATTGCCTCCGTATTTTATCAGACTTAGCGCCTCAGTCGACTTCACATGTGACCTGTGTCTCCCAGGATGAGTCTGAACTCTGAGACCGTCTCCCTGTTGCATGAACGTTGCGCCTCTGTTGACCTCACAGGACGTGACCTATAATCTCCCAGGATGAGTCTCTGTAACTTGTACATCCCCTTTCCTCCGCAGGATGAGTCTGAAATCTTAGATCGCCCCGCTTCTGTATGAGACCTCTCTCCAAAGTGACCTGACCCGTGACCTGTGACCTTAACCTCCCCAGGATGAGTCTGAACTCTGAGATCGCCTCGCTGCACGCCGGTGACCGGGTGCTGGAGGTGAACGGTCTGCCCGTCTCCGGCGACAACATGGAAACCATCGAGAGGATCATTAACGACGCCCACGAGGACGTGCAGGTGGGAGCGGCGGACGGTCGGGGAGCGGCAGTGGGACGCGGTAGTGAGGGAACAGTGCGAATGGATCGCATTGGTTGTGAGGGCGGTTTACGATAGCACTTCTCGTTTGAGGAATTCAGCAAATATCGTTTTGGAGCTGGCTATCGGTCAGTTTTTCCTCTCTGACCTCTTTTTTTCTAGCATTTTCCGCTGATGTCTGAGATGGACTCTTTGTTGATGTATTCTGAAGCCCCCTTTAGTGACAGGGAACATTACCGTAACTATTATGTTTGCAATGTGTATCATGCATCTCCGCTGTTGTCTCATTCGGCGAGAGCATTGCCTTACCTCCCCTCTCTGCCGACAGCTAACCATCGAGCACGACCCTCGTCCTGTGCCGCCGTCGGCCCGGCGCCTCAGTGTGGACGGCGGCCGCCAGAGGCGCTGGCGTCGCTCTGACGAGGGATACCTGTCGGGCCGGAGTCGCCAGCTGCGCCGGCCCGGGCGGCAGGAGAAGGAGGAGCGCTCCAGCAGCATGCCGCGCATACTCGAGAGGTGCGGAGGGACGGGAGGGAGGTGGGACCGGAATGCGGGCGCGTCCTGGGGAAGTAGGAGGCTACGGACGGGTTGCGGGGTGCGATGAGTGTGTGCTTTGTAGTAGGGTGGGGCGCTAAGTGCCGATGCCAATTGAAATATGTAGTTATATTGATAGTCAATGGTAACAGAGAGGCCCTGTGAGGCTGGTCCTCTCCGTCCCTGCATATCTGACCCTCCGCCGTGTGCTGTGTCTCTCTACAGCAGTGGCCCGGATGGCGGCGAGTCGGACACACTGGCCCGAACCCAGTCGTTCCGAGTTCCGCCGAAACACCAGCGCATCTTTCGGGCGGCCGACCTCGTCAAGGGTGACCTGCTCGGCACCGGGTTCTTCGGAAAGGTGTTCAAGGTAGGTTTGGCCCGTTCGAGCCGACGTATTTATCAGTTTTCAATTGAAACGTGCTGGTAAATCGTAAAAAGGCGTTTATTAGAAACGATTGAACTGCGTGCGACTATGGAGCCACTTTATATTTATATCGTTGTTCAGCTGCCATTCAAGCCAGTGTCGCAGGTTAAATGATGTGAGTCGAAATGCTGTGTTGTTCGTGCTCACCTCGCATTGTTATTAATTCGTCATTTACCTGTCCCGCCAGGTGACGCACCGGACCACGGGCGAGACGATGGTGCTCAAGGAGCTGTACCGGGTGGACGAGGAGGCGCAGTCCAACTTCCTGAAGGAGGTGAGGCGGAGACGGTTGCCAGCGACACCTGAGCTGGTCCCCTGACAGTCGGGCCACCGTGCTGACGGCTCATGTTATGACGGTTTCAAGCGGCATAAACGTAAAGCGAACGTTTTAACTGCGCGCTGCTCATCTATCTGATGGGCATGATCCTGCACGGAATTTTAGGGGACGATGTTGCGTCAGCTCTTGAAGTGAGGATTCCTGGTATGCCCTGCCAGTGCCCCCCCCCCCCCCCCCCCGTTTCTTCGCTGGGCCATTCTCCAGTGCTGCCACCTGCCGCGCGTCGGTCCGGGGTCTTACCCGCCACCCACGTGCAGAGTATGCGCCGGTCGCAGGCTGACTGACCCTCTATTTCCGCCCCTGACAGGTCGCCGTGCTCCGGTCTCTGGACCACCCGAACGTGCTGGGCTTCATCGGCGTGCTGTACAAGGAGCGCCGACTGCACCTGGTCACCGAGTACATCAGTGGCGGCTCGCTGGCTGCCCTGGTACACAACGCCAGCGAGCCGCTGCCCTGGGAGCAGCGCGTCGGCTTCGCCAGGGATATCGCGGCCGGCATGGCGTACCTGCACAGCCGGGACATCATCCACCGCGACCTCAACTCACACAACTGCCTTGTCAGGGAGGTCAGTGAGGGGGACCGGGGTCAGTGACCTCAACTCACACAACTGCCTCGTCAGGGAGGTCAGTGAGGGGGACCGGGGTCAGTGACCTCAACTCGCACAACTGCCTCGTCAGGGAGGTCAGTGAGGGGACTGTTCCTTTAATGGCGGCACATTTTTACGTGTAACTTGAGTTTATGCTTTTCCGAAAGTGATACGGATTCTGTTGAGCACGTGTTGAACAGGGTGACCATATGACCGCTGACCGCTGACCCATCCGTCCGTCCGTCTGTGACCTTCAGAACCGGACAGTGGTGGTTGCCGACTTCGGTCTGGCGCGGATCATCACCGAGAACCACTCGACGCTCGAGCGGAGAAAGATGAACCGCGCGCGCCGCCTGCAGAGGAAAAAACGGTGAGACAGGCCGGGGCGAGGGATGGAGGTGGGGAGGGCAGAGCGAGGCAGGGTGCAGGTGCCAGTTAAAGTGGCAGTTCGTGTACAGCATGGGAAAAAACAGACCACGTGGTATATGCACTAGCAGCCGGGACAGCTGGAAATATACTACAGGGTGTCTCAAAAGTTCGTTGACAGGTACCAGCCATGCTTTTTTGTCAATAATTCTGAATCAACGAGAAATTAACAGAAATTTTGCATGGGCATTGGTAACAACCTTCCCCCAGCAGTCGCATTGTTTTCAAGTGCATTCGACCATTCATGAGCTCACAAAAAGGGTTCACCTCTGACCATGGGTCAGGCATGAAAATGGAGGTCGCAAAATCGGGTCGGCTGAGAAACTCTCTGATTCAGGAGTAATGGGAATGGCTAAGTCGGAAATGACACATGGCAAAGTGCCGGCGAGGATGAGTATAACATGATGATCATCTGATAAAAACGGTGGCTAAAATTTGGGAAGGACGAAACCATGCGAGACTAACAGCGTTTTGAACGACCTTCGTACGGCAGCAGACACGTGCTCCGGAAAGCAGCTGAAAATGCGGTCATAACTATTGAAAACTGGCCAGAAGCTCACATACAGAGGCTACCCAGTTTCAAAAATTGCAGGTCATCATGAGATAAAGACAAAGAATCATTTTGAAATTGTTTATAATATCTATAATGCTAAATTTTTTGGGGAAAATAATACGAAAATCGTCAATGCCAAGGCAACTGACCCTCCAAAAGTGTCATTTAATGTAAAGTTTTATCTTACGAAGTTTCAAGAGGCAGATCTGGAGCAAATAGCTTTCTTTTAGACACAAAATCCCAACAAAACCGCACGATGGACAGGTTTTGGCCGTTTACAAAGCAGAACCTCTCCTGAGGAAAACACTCCGCAACCCAGCGAAGGTCTCGGCATGGGGAATGAAGAGCGTTTGGGATTTGCAAAATTTGCAAATGTGTCTCAGAAACAGATGGCCGACGCATTCTGCTACGATATGCTGCGAAAAATTTGCCCCTGGCACTTCCCATTTGTTCAGGAATTGGGTTGTTTTGAATAGGAAAATGGTGCTTGGGAGGTCGGCGCCAGTCATTCATGAAGGAGTTAGCGCCAGAGAAGACCTACAAAATGCTCACGGATGGTGTCGATGCAAGCTGTCGGCTTTCAGGGAGAAGCGGATGTTGCCGGGGAGCTCATCAAACCTAAATTCGACGCAGAAACTGCAGGGGATTCCCCTACAAGAGCTTGAAAGCTGGTAACCTTTTTTCAGCCTCCGGCAGGTGACGGCGCGACGAAAATCGGTATGGGCAAATATTTTTGGAGATGCAGCAAAGGGTTTGGTTTTCAACCTTCCGAATCAGTTGTCATTGCATGCATATTTGTCTAGTGTACACACAGATACCAAAACCTTAGATTTTTGGCCGTTTCTTATAGGCTTTATTGGCATGGGAAATGTGTCAACGAACTTTTGAGACACCCTGTATATTCGCAACATGTCAATGTTCCTTTTGACACCCTTAATCGGTATCCTGTATTGAATGACGCGCATACTTACTTTCGCTGTCATTTTTTCCCAGGAGGACAATATTTCCGATAGCAATCAGTGAGCAATGTTCTCACCTGGTTGTCAGCTACATTTTTTTCGCTTCTTCGTGAGCTACATTCTTTCAGAGTTGTCATACTTTTGGGGAATCATTTGGAGTTATCTGGTCTAGATATTACTGGGCCGTAGTCAGGACTAGGTATTTTATTGGTGATGGCGACTGCTCCCTGCCGCTACATTGTCGGACCTTATATTTTACCTGCAAGGATCACACCTTGCAAATGGTCATAATATCAATGAAATGCACTTTCCCTCGCACATTTTCGGTTACCTACCCACAAAGTGAGTAATTGTTTTGTTTAGCTTCGTTCATAGCCAGCCTGTGTATGGCATATCATGTGGTATCAATTTCCTACTACACCTCCCCTCCAGTTCCATCTGATGCTATCACCGGGCACACGGACTGCGGTGGAACACATCCTGGACCATCCATCTGCGCGGTGACACGGCCCCCTGACCGGCCGGCGGCCTCTGTCCGCTACCTCCCCTGTGTCTTCTCGGTGTGTGAGGGAGAGACAGGTGCAGAGAGACCGTCCTCAGTCCCTGGGCGGTCCATCTTACACCGTCACAGGCGCTCCTTTAATGCCGCCGCGGCGGCCGTCACATCGGCGGCTGCAGCGGCAGCCCTTTGGCGGCTGCAGCGGCGGCACTGGTGGCGAGGGGAGGGAGAAAGGGGTACCGCAGTGTTATCACTGATGGATGACGTCCGGGGACATAGCTGGAGTCGCCAGCCGCCCGTCTCTTACAGACCCAGCCGCCGCTGTCGGTAGAAACGTGGGTATTCTGCTGTCTCGGTACAGCGGCCAATACGATGAAAGTGTGATGGATCAGCGGTATGACATCCCAGTCTGCTACGAAGGGTTTAGTCGTTTTGCCACTCGGCCGACTACGAACAGTGGTGTTATGTAAGTTGATGTTGTGCAAAGTGATGTGATGAACTGGTTCCGTCCTTTTTCAGGTACACGGTGGTGGGTAACCCGTACTGGATGGCCCCAGAGATGATGAGGGGCCAAAAGTACGACGAGAAGGTGGATATCTTCTCGTTCGGTATCGTCCTATGTGAGGTAAGAGACGAGCCCCGGCGGGCGGCTCCGACCCCTCTGCCGTATGACCAGGCTCTGTCTTCTACAGGTCGAGCGTCCTCCCCCGTTGACGGCTGTTTAATGCGTTTGTGATGGGCTGGCTGTAAGTGGACGGCCGGGGCCGGTCGTTCCGGAAACTGAACCAGGCCTGGGTCTGTCATCAAGTGTCGTTGGCCGTATTGAGCTGGCCGCTCGCAGACAGCTCGTATCGGACGTCGTCTATCGGTGTTAATTGGCAAGGTCCGTGGTGGTCGGCTCATTGCGGTGATCGAATTAAAAATGCCGCCGTTTTACCTGCTGGACGTGACACACAGACCTGTGGTTAGCAGTCAGTTGCGACTCGCGTTACACAGCTAATCCGCGGCCATTTGGGATGTAGTTACCTCGGGATGGCCGCCTACCTGCCAACTAGCTGGCTCGGTAACATACTATCGGCTGCATGAAATGTCGTTACGCCAAATACGTTTCGACAACCACTTTGTGCGACGGTATTGGCCGGGTCGTACCCACTGATTGAGTTTCCGCCCAGTTACGGCGTTCCATTTGCGTTCATGCTCGGGGCGGTGGACGGCGGACGGTCTCTATGAATCGGGTCACGTCGTGCAGAGACTGCCTAAATCGGTGGGGCTGCGGCCCGTGCCTGGCCCGGTGTTATTGTATGGGGTCTCAGGAGACGTTAGATGCCGCCGCCGTGCAGAATCAGTGGCGTCTCATGTATTGACAGTCGCCCCTGTGTAGGAAAATAGACAGTTGTGGCTCGGTAAATCATCGGCGCCGGGACAGCTACTTGTCGGTTATGACCACTCCCCGAAAGTGGGTTCGTGAAGTTGCATACGCGCGGCCGTCCGTTAGTCATAAATCTGAGCGAAATTCTCGGCAGCACACATTGCACGTACAGCCAATCGTCCCTCGTCACCGTTTGATAACTCGTTCGTCCGGCTCGACTGGACTGCCCCCCTCCCCGGACGGGGGGGGGGGGGGTCTGACGGTCGCCGCGCGGTGCAGTAGTCGACCATCGCGGATTTGTCGGCGGCTATATGTCAAAACAGCCGGCCGGAATGCCGCCGCGAGGTCGCCGCCGCCGCCGTTGGACGCGTATTGTGTGTCGCGCGCGGCGGCGGCCGCCCTTTGAAGACGGGTTCCGGCCGGTGATACTGTCGGTCTGGAGTGCCGGCCGTGAGCCGAGGCTCGGATCGCGGAGCGGCGAGACGCGCCGGTGGCCGGACAAAACTGACGCGGCCCACTCCCGCCGCGCCGCGGACCGAGGAACGGGTGCCCGGCAGATGGGAGGGATCCGACCGGATTGGAAACGCTAAGCGGCGCATGTGACGCTCAGCTGCACAGCTTTGGATTCTCCGGCAAAGAGGCTTATGCAGGTGCCCTTGTGTCTAAAATAGTGAGGGTTTTGTAGAACGGCGTTAAGTATCCAAGAATGATTTGGTTCCGGTTGGTGCCTCTATCGATTATGGTCTATTACATTGGCTCTTTCAAAATACATTGCATATCATGTAACGGACACTGTCATAATTGTTTCAAAATTTAGTAGCACGAAGGCTAGCCTGTCATTTTTATATCGCTACTCCAGAGTGGCGTGTCCACAGTTTTCGATGTGACGCTTCTCCAGTTAAGTACCCTCTGTGCTCTGTCATGTTTGGCGCAGTATTGGCCCTCGATGTGCCTCATCTCAGATATATGCCCCACAGTCTGACAGTGTGTCCTGTCCTTACCCGGCAGATAATCGGCCGAGTAGCAGCCGACCCGGACTTTCTGCCGCGGCGCTCCAAGGACTTTGGTCTGGACGAGGCCGAGTTCCTCAGCCGCTTCTGCAGCAGTTGTCCGATGGCCTTCTTCAAGATCTGCTGCATGTGCTGCAACACCGACCCCGACCTCAGGTCAGTCTCGGAGGATCGCCTGGTGGCGAGTCAGGCTGATGGACTGATGGTGCAAACCGGGGGCACCCAGACTGAGTTAGTTGCTAGGAGTCGGTGACCAATCACCATGGGACTTAAGGGTGATGTCTTTTACACTCATCTACCATTACCCAGTTAGCCTCCTATTTTAAACACGATCTGGCCGGCTGTTTAGCTGTGATATATTTTATTTTTTACTCGCTGGTGATGTAGTGCATACCAAATGACCTCGGGTAAGAGCCGCTGGGGAACACAATCTAACTGGTGATTCAGTGAACCAAGGTCTCGGAACCTGAGCGCTGCCTCTGCAGCGTTGACATTCGTCCAGATGGACTGGCTCTTCAATGTTTGGTGGCATGATGGGGCCTTTGGCGGTATTCAAAGTGTAACGCAAGCCTGGATAAAACATATTCCGTGTCACATTCATGTACAAACTTCTTCTTATTTGAAAGACAGGGTTTATTTTACCTCTACCAGACGCAGATGTCATTTGCCTTTTTATTTCATAGCTGGGCCTTAATTAGCGGGTAGATGCCAGTGTGTGTGACACTGATTATAACCTCAACCCTTCCCCATTCCTCGGAGCATTCCGCTGGTCGGCACCGAATACCAGCCCTTGGCTGGTGGCTAGATAAAATATATCCCGGCCAGATAAAATAGCAACGGCTTTCTCTAAATTGTCAGGTCCTTGTTAGCCTGCGCTAGAAGGTTCTAATAATCCGCTTATCGGCGCTTATTATTCTTTAAAAAATCGTTGTTCTGATTTATAGTTTTGCTGTAACTAATGCCGCAGTAATTGATATCGCAAACTTCATTTTCAATTTTCAACCACCCCAAAATTTCACACATTTTTTGTTCCAAACCGAAGCTGTGCTTCAGCGGATGTTACTTGATTTCAGATGCCTGCTTCGCCAATTCAGTCCCATCCAAGGGTAAACTGAAGCTTTCTTTGCCGTATTGCTGCCGTCAGACTAGCGTTTTCGCTAACAGTCGAGTCGCTGAGACTTTGACACTCTCTGTCTCCCCCCCCCCCCCCCCCCCCACCCGTTTCCTCCCCGGTAATGGAGTGGCTGACCACCCATCGCCTCCCCTTCCTTCGTGTCGTGTCCCAGGCCGGCGCTTACAGTGGAGTGTCTGATACACTGACAGTACCCTCTATACCCGCAGGCCGGCGTTTTCGCTGACTGTCGAGTGGCTGCAGACGCTCGGCCTGCACATCGGCGTGTGCTCGGAGCCGCCGGCCGAGCTGCTGGCTGAGCTGGAGCTGTTCGCCAGCGGCGGCCGGGCCAGCCCGGCGCCGCCGCAGCTGCCGCCGCCGCCGCTGCTTCGTACCATCTCCGAGACGCCGCCGGCCTACTTCTACCTGACGCCGCCGGACAGTCCGTCCCGCACACCGGCCTCCCCCACCGGCCTGCTGACTCCCGACGGTCAGTCGCCGCCGCCGGTACCGACCTCGGCCCTGTGAGGGACCGACGGCGGGCCGGGGGACGGGAGGGGCGCCCGGTGGGACGGAGGGGACCCCTGGCGGTGGCCGAGCGTTGCTGACCACTGGAATGGAGAGGGCGCTGCCGTCTGCGGAGGGACCGGCCGCGGGGCCGAGTCTGCCTTACACAGGCGGTGGGCTCCTAGAGTTAGCTTTGTCCTGCCGATGTTGCAGGATCTGGTCACATCAGCTGCTGTTAGGACTCTTGCGACTAGGGGTGAGATGTAGTCTGGGCACTGCTGCTCTGGCCTTGCTGCGTTACACCCTCCTACTGATCTGTCACACCATTCTCTCAGTATATGGAATCTCATAATTCCTTTTAGAGGCTTAAACTTGGCATTGTGCCTTACTGAATCAGTAGCCTAGCTGAATCTATCTCACCAAGTTTCTCTGTTTTCTAATAGTCTAAGGCCTAAGCTAACCCTTTCAGCACATTCCTTATCACCATTTCCAGTTAGGATGTATTTAACGTACCTTGCCGCTCAGTTTCGCTCCCAACGAGCTTTGCTGTTGTCACCGTCGTAAAGCTGTTGTGGCCTTTCATTCCCATCTGGAATAGCTGAGGGGCGACTACGTTGTCGCTGTCGGGCTCTACCCAGCCGTGGCGTTCCTCACTCCCCTCGGAATAGCGGTGAAGCTAGTGAGCTGCCCTGCTGCCGTTTGAGGCGTGCTCTCAGTGGCGCAGACCAAAGAGAGGTGCACAGAAATAGGCTGTTTCCTAGTTGAAACGCGGGGTAAGTTAAGCGGAAATGTCTGAGCTGATCGTGGAAGCTAAGTGAATGTTGAATCATTTGATGTCTTAGAACGATCATGCTTTGTCGCCGATTTTGTTTTGTTTCCGTTTGTTTTATTTTAAGGATTTTGGGATTTTGTTTTCGGTGCATTTATGTTGTGTGTTTTCTGGTCACGGTCCATTTATGGTGGACTGGTCGCTGTTGTGAGCTGGTTGCACTCTTAACACCATTATCATCTCATGTGTGATCTCAAGTCGACGTAAGCTGCTACGCTGTAGACGGTAGTCATACCTAGAACACAACAATACCCGATCGGTACCAGTTCGATCCTGCCAACGAAGTCGCGCTTCACCACCAACGCTATCCTTCGCCAGAACTGTCTAGCTTTGAACCTTTTTGTCGCTCCATTTGGCGTCCCGGTTGTGGCGGTCACGGTGACGACGGGCCGCACCTCCCGTGTGGCGACTCGCCCCGTGTCGGAGCATCCGCTGCCGTGTGGCGGGTCGCGCTGTGTCGGAGCATCCGCTGCCTTGTGGCGGGTCTCGCTGTGTCGGAACGGCCCGCTGTCGGCCGGTAGGTCGGTGGGTCCACCTGTGTCGATATACCCGCTGTCGGTCGGTGGGTCACGCTGTGTTCGTATGTACACCCGCTCTCGGTCGGTGGGTCGGCGCCGTGTTGGTACGCCCGCCGTCGGTCGGTGTGTCACTGGCTCACCGCTGTCGTGACTCTGTCGATCGGTGTGTCGATATACCCGCTGTCGGTCGGTGGGTCGGCGCTCGGACGATGCGCGGCATCCCGTTCACCTCTGATGTAATCACAGCAGTGGCCGGGGCGGGGCGCAAACACTGCCGTCCGGCTGTCCACAGTCCGGGAGAGGGGTAGAGAGAGAGAGGGACCTGCTCGGAGCCGCAGAGTCCACCGGAGACGGACAGCCGGTCACTGCTCACATGGAACGGAGGAGGAGACGGCCGGCCCGCCGCGCCAGTGGGCAGTTATGTAACGTCCAGCGCCTCAAAATTCTATTGCTTTCGTGCAATATAGATACCGGCAATCCTCATAGGAGGTTCAGAGAAGCGAGCGCCACAATTGAACACACTGTGGGTGCTGTGTCTGCCGCCTCTCCTCCCTCGTCGCGCTGAGATACGGCCCGTGTCGACTGTTTGCCGCTGAGACACTCCGCCCTACGACGGCCGTACGTCCGCCCTACGACGGTCGTTCGTCCGCCGTATGACGGCTAACGTCCCGGTGTGACGCCAAAACACCCGCCGTGTCGGGTCGGCCGGGTCACAGCTCCGGGTGGCGAGAGGTCCCTGTGTCAGTGCCGGTTCAGAGTCGGTAGGACGGATGGTGAATGGAGCAGAGGGACGGTTCCCATAGAGATGGGCCTGCCAGTGAGAAGCGAGACGCCTTGAGTAAAGTATCGCCTTTCTTATCGACCCGGCTATTCCCGTGACCGTTTGACCCACACGTTGTGGTTGAAAGATGTTATAGATCCTATCCGATCCTGAGAGCTACTAGTGGGTTACCCTGATCATCTACCGACCCTTGCCGGCCCCTCTTACAACGGAAATACTATTTCACATCGTGCATCTTCAGATGCGACCATCTTCTTAGATTCCATTGATTATCGACCTACGTTGACTGCTATATACCCACTGCGATCACTGAAGCACCACATCGCTCCAGTCTGGAGTTTCCGGACGAGCGGAGTCTTATCACTAGTCCCGACTGATGACGTCACACCCAGCCGAGTGACGTCACTCCTGGATGTGTCTCCGGGAATCACCATGTTACTGTTGTTGCACAGTGTGCCTGCTTTGTGTGCGTCGGCGGGGTTATTTGCACCGGTCGTGTGTATGTCGCCTCGCGACGTGTCTGTTTTGTTTTGAGAGCTGTGCGCGTTGACATTCAGTATTTTTGCTACGGTTTGTATTGGTCACCTTGTGCTAGTCTGCCCTGTAAGCGTGTCAAAATACACGTATTTTTGTATTGAGTGTGTTTGACTGGATGCACGTACTTCGTCAAGAACGTGGGAAATGGAGTGGTTCCTAGCTGAGCAGATGAATTGACCGTTGAGTTTTCGGCGAGGGTGCCCACTGCCCGTGCAGTGTACCTTGAATTGAATTGAAATAATTGCTGAACAAACAGCGACATTAGAGACCGCAACACCGGTGACTTGCCGCTGGTCTGTCGTGGAGCTGTATTCATTTATTTATTTTGGTTGGTATATTTTCATTTATTACACGTGACCATTTTACAGATGTGTGTATTGTGACTTGATAGGGATCAAACTCGCTCAACAAATCATATTCGCCAACATTTTCGTCGTGGGGAAGTGAGAATATGTGCTGACACGTGCACGATCATGGCTTACTGGATGGTGGGAGAAGGTGAAACCCCGAGACAGGGGCTGGCGGCGGACACGTTATGACCTTTTAAGTGCCCCTCACCCATCATGTTACCACATGTAGCACTGTCAGTGCGGGTATTTTTACCTGGCGCCTGTTTCCTATCGGTGTGTCCTGTTCCCGATACGGTAAAAGGCGACATGTCACCTGCCCTCCCACCGCCCGGCGCCGTGTCGGGGTACTGATCACCGGCGGTTCACAGACGACACCGTCCCCGGGGCGGGTGGCGGAGGGGACCGATCACACGGCCACTCGGCCGCCCCCGCCCGCAGTGGCGCCGGGCGGCGGCGGCGGCGGTGACGAGGCGCGCCGATAGTGATCGGCGGCGGCGGCGTGTCATCAGCGCGGCGCAGCACTCAGAGAGACGGCCCTCTGTTTGCCCGCTGGACGAGCGAGCAAACACGGCCATTGTCGGAGGCACCGCGCCGCCCGAGTCAGAGTCTGACGGCGCCGCGCCGCCCCAGTCAGAGTCTGACGGCGCCGCGCCGCCCCCGTCAGAGTCTGACGGCGCCGCGCCGCCCCAGTCAGAGTCTGACGGTGCCGCGCCGCCCCAGTCATAGTCTGACGAAGCCGCGCCGCCCCAGTCAGAGTCTGACGGCGCCGCGCCGCCCCAGTCAGAGTCTGACGGCGCCACACGAGTCAGTCAACCGGGCCTGCCGGTGCCTGAGAGCAGCAACGGACGTTCGAGACTCGAGAGTCGGGGGCACCCGGAATGGGCCAGATCACTGGCATGTCGGACATCAGACAGACTGTGGCGTGCGCAGTGCACTGCGTGGGGCCGCGGGCTGCTGGTCAGTTTTGAAGATTGTGAAATCTTCCTGCTCATGATTAGCTGCACATCGCCCTACGCGAAGATGATTATACTGCGGCATATTTGAGCGTTGAAGCTCGGCCCAAACGTTAAAAACATGTCCCTAGATGACATGTGACACAGATTTTCTGTCAGATAAAGTTATCCAGCATATAACCGTCTGAGCTAATCTCGAACTCCGCTACTGTAGCATGATGGATGAGGGGGCGATGCTCTTGCCTCAGCTGTTGCTGCTATCGTTCCCTGTTTCACTTCGCTGGCCGCCGTGGTCGATTACTCACGCCTCCGTCTGCCTGACCTGGCCTGTCCATATGGGTGCAGTGTCATATCATTGGCCCAGGTCACCTATCTCTTCCATCCAGGAGGCACTTGGTTGACAGCTGGCTGGCAGTAGTGAAGTTTACCTAATCGTGATGGTCTCTTGGATCTGTGACGATATTGCTTAGAATTTCATGGTGCATGATCAGATATCGCCGTCGGATGATCAACCTTTTGAACAGATATAGGAACGTTTCGCCTCCCGGTGACTTTTACTTGTAAAGGCGGTTTTTTGGTTAGGTTAGGTAAGGTTAGGTTGTCACTCGCAGTCATTAACCAAACTGCATATGCTTCGCTCAATAAGAATATATTCTCAAACAGTTACAAATACCGGGTGTTGTAGACAGTTGGCGATGCATCTGAACATCTTCGTTCACGATTCGCGGCTCCGTATTCCTCCACCTAAATCGACAGTTGCCTCTCTCCCTCTGAGTCCACCCACACAGATACTCGTTTCGCCTTTTTTACTCGTCCCACTTCTTGCTTTTGTGGTGGCCATAGGTACTACCCATACCTCTCTGGGTCACCCCTCCCCCGTCGACCTCCTCTCCGCTGGTGGCGGTCCCGTGACCCGTCCCTCTCTGGGTCACCCCTCCCTCGCCGCTCCCCCGGTGACATGTCATGGCATCGTTAGCTGCGCGATCGAGCCACGTCCTCTGTGGACTAATGGAATTGGCCGCCGCCCCGGCGCCCTGACATGCCCTCTGGCGCGGCACACAGCCGTCATCTCAGCTGTCAGCGCCCGTCACCAGCTGTCATCGACTGTCAATGGCTGTCAGTGGCGGCCGCAGCTCGGTCGCGGAGCTTCCGGACGGGGCGGCGCCGTCCCCCGATCCGGAAGGAGTCGGTCGGCGGCGGCCGAGCGCTGAATGCGAGACGGGTCTGTGGCGACAGCCGTCTCCGGCCGTCAGCCGTCGGCAGGCAGCAGGCAGCAGTCCCTGTACCGCGAGACGACAGTTCGGGCTACCGCGGCATCGAGCTCAGCATCGGAGCTAGGGAGACGGCAGAGATGATGGCAGCCAGAGAGACGGCGGAGAGACTCGGGGCTGGAGACCCCAGAGATGAGCTGGGCCAGACCTCCGGGTCGAGACACAGAGCTTAAGAGCTGGCTTAGACGGTCGACGGAGCAGGTGACCCAAGCAGCGTTTCAACGTTGGGCATTCTGTGAATTGTATTTCGTCTTAGTTTGTAGTTATGACAATAATTACTAAACCTCTGCTTCTGTGGCACATTATCACGGCAGAAATCGAACGGGTCCGTCGCCATAGAAACGCGATTTGAGTCCAGTGATTCCATTTCAAACACGGAGCAATTCACTGCCGGTCTAATTTATAGTTGGCTCCAATAACTCACATGCAGGCACGAGCTGCCACAATTAAAACGCGCCCGGCTAGCGCGTGGCCGCCCGCCGTAACATCGCCCCCGAATATATTACTGCGACAAAGGGCGCTGGTCGAAATGGCAGGCACGGCGGCCGGGCCCGTGCGCAGCAACAAACCAACCATGGTAAAATATGGCACCGGCCCATAATGCCAGAAACTATTGCGCGTGTAAGTGTTCGCATTCATTGCGATTGACTGCGCTGGTCGTGCTGTGTGAAGCGCGTGGGAACCCGGGGGAGGCTGCAGTCACATCTGTCCCATTCTCGGCGATCGAGTGCCGTGTTTGCCCATCCTCGGGGTGATATGGGAGGCCAAACAATGCGTATTTGTAATATGGGAGAGCGCGCGGGTCCCATTTATTCTGCGGGACACTGGGTATGACAGGGTGAAATGGTGTTATCAGCTGCCACCGGACGGGTGGCCGAGGTGGACTGAGGGCGAGGGTGACGCCGGAATCACATGCTTATTACGGATACTCGTGCTTGTGTCCATTGCCCACCTACTCGTAACCAGGCCCAATATTGTTCGCTTGAAAACAATGACACGGTGGATATCTCTTGCTGGCCAATCATTCTATGTGTAGGAGCCTATGACGGAACTATGACTGCCGGCTGCTTGACAACGACACACCTCCACCTGGCTTTAGTTTGCAGGTCACACACACCTGGCATTAAAGGTAGTGTGCCAGCTTTCTTGGACCGTATGGAGTTAATGGCCCAGATGAGGAGAACCGGATTTTTAGAACTTATCCATCCATACCTTCAAAACTCATGGAAACGTCTTAAATTCTTCAAATTTTGAGTACCCCAGTGCGAAATTCGCCCCGACGGGTTGTCGGTCGTACCCCAACCACATTTCACACCACTATGAACAATAAATGCACACACTGAAATCGCTATTACCGATATGCTCATCCAATCAAGTTTCGATAAACCCGTTCATCATCTCCTGCGGTTTCGAACACGCCTGTTAGGTGGCTTCTGATGCTCGTCGAGGTCGGAATTTCCAAATACGCGTGGTGCGTCGGGCCGCGCGCTCTGACTTCGGCCAAGAAAAATGCGTCAGCTGATCATTGTCATTTCTGCCACTTGCGTGTGGTGAAATGGGGCCATAACTTATAAGACGGCTTTTTCATATCAATTATTTTACATAAAATCATATTTCAAACCATAAATAATGTTCGACAGCCAAATAAAAGAAACAATACCAATACGGGCTTACAGTTTAAGGCTCGACATTGTGTTGTCTACGATTAGACAGCTGATAACTCATTCCCGTACGTCGTATGGTCGTAACACTATAATGACCTTTGCTTATTGTCACAAGTGCGCCGCATTCGCGATTGTTGCCCGACGCCTGTTTGCAGGTGAGCCCACTACAGTTGTTATACATATCTAAAAACCGAAAAACTTTTAGGCGAAAAAGGCACTATTCCAGGCCCATTTTTGATTTTTTTTTTGCGATATTAGGTAAAAACAGAAGCTTCTTATCCTAGGAAAAATAAAATGGGAAATCTTTCAAAGGTGGCACACTACCTTTAAATAGCACGGGTCCGGGTCGCCTGACGGGTCACCGATGAATGGCAGCTATACGTGTCCAATGACGATGTCGCTGCCGCTGTCGGGTCGTGGTCTCACGCGTCTCGGCCCGTTCACCAGCGGTACCCGCTGTGGGACCTCCTCCCCCCATCCCTCCCCGGTATCGCTAACAAGTCCCCGGCCGTCGCCGCCGCGCGCTGAGAAAACACCGACACAATCGGCCTAATAACATTTTATTAGCGGTAATGAGCCGGCTAATGTCGGCCGAGTCGCCTCTCTAGAAAGCCGACAATCGGCGCGGCTCCCGCGTCGCCGGCCGCCGCCGCCGCCGACCCCGCCCCTAATGAATCGGCGGGTCCCGGCGGCAGCGGCCGGCCGGCCGGCACTGACCTGACTAGGTCACGGGTCAACAAGGCGACCGTGGGAGCGGCCCCGGCGGCGCGGCTGATCACTGCCATCGCCGCCGCGGCGCCCCGCTGTTACCCGTCTCATGTATCAATTTATCCAGTCGAGTATTAATTTGATTTGGCGT